AAAAGCAGCTTATGATTTTCACACCATTCAGAAAAATTAAGTACAAAATTCCGGTAAGCGGTTTCGTTTTGGTCAGCCTGAATTAGCCCAATTATAGTTGAATCATCTGCAAATTTTATCAACTTGATGTTATTGTTGTTTATTTGGCAATCGTTCGTGTATAGTGTGAATAAAACTGGTGACAAAACACATCCTTGAGGGGCCCCTGTATTTGTTGTGATGTATGTCGATGAAGAATGTTTTAATTTTACATACTGGGTTCGGTTGGTAAGAAAATTGCCTATCCATGATATTAAATTGACGTTAACACCTATGTTTTCTAATTTCTTTAAAAGGATAGCTGGCTGGATAGTATTAAAGGCTGACGAAAAATCAACAAACAGGATCCTACAGTATGTTTTAGGCTTGTCTAAGTGTCTATATATGTTGTCAAGAAATAGTAAAATGGCGTCTTCCACACTTCTCCCGTGACGATATGCAAATTGTAGAGGGTCCTGGGTGGGTTCTATGTACGTTCGTAGTCTTTTTAGCACAATTTTTTCCAGACATTTTATAACTACCGATGTTAAGGCTATTGGTCTTAGGTCATTCATTTCAGTAATTTTTTCTTTCTTTGGAAGGGGGACGATTTCAGAACATTTCCAAATAGTGGGAATAGCATGTGTCAACAACGACTGGTTGATAATATAGGTGTAAATAAAACTAAGTTGTGCTGAACACATTTTCAGAATTTTGGGTTGCACACCGTCTGGACCACACGCCTTTCTCACATTCACACGTCCAAACACACATCTAACCTCACGTTCTTCAACAACGACAGGATTATTTTCTTTTGTGTCGGTGTTCACACATGGTAAGTCACACGGACTGCCTTTGTCAAAACGGGAGAAAAAGGCATTTAGTTTATTTGCATACTCTTCGTTGTCAACACATATGTTTGTTGGTTTATTTTTATAGCCCACTATGGTCTTAAGCCCAGTCCATGTCTCTCGAGAGTTATTTGAACGAAACAGATCTTCCAGTTTCTTTTTATATTTTTGTTTTTCAACCCAAAACATCTTCAATCTGCATGAATATAGAGAAGCCTCCATTCTATGCTTCTCAGAGACCTGGTTCACTGAAGATACCACCAATGCCAGTGTAGACCTAAAAGGGTTCAATGTCAGGAGTGACTTCATCCGCTAAACATCTTAACTAGGGTCCCGAAATTTTACTGTTTTGTTGAAATCTTTTAAAGTGTTTGTGGGGTGGTTTGTTTGGCTCTCTTTTTTGTTTACTTTTTGTTTTCAGAATTAGCTTTCTTTTTTATTTCACCTACCCATTGGTTACCTCGATAAAACTTTATTCAGGTTCAAAATAACGTTTTTTTAGGAAGCTTTAGTCTATTGACAACTCTATAAAAGCGAATAAACTTTAATTAGTGCCGAGTTTAGAATCAGGAAAATAGTTTCCTTCAAATTTTTTGTGTTGCTTTTCAGCTTTTAACAATACCAAGATCAGATTAAGTCCCGAAAATCGTACAAGTGGGTAGTGATATCACTTGTCGCATACCACTATGAAAAGGTTCTTGCAAAGTTTCAGGCAACTGGAAGCCGTTAGGCAGGGCCTGGAATTCGATGGACCTGGTATCACCGACGCAAGGACTCGTCAGCGTTTTTCTGCTTCATTGCGATAGGATGGAGCAGTGTCAGTAGGCCTTGAAACCTCTTGAAGATAAACCTTGTGGATTTCCTTGAGTGTTTGCTCGTGTGATTTCATGGAAAACGTCTTGTCTGATCCCTTCACAAATTAGCCATAGGTTTATTAAACATCTTTCTCTTGAAAAATGTATTATTATAGAAGAAGGGGTGAATAAAAAGCGTTTCCAAAAAACAGAACATATTATATCAATATAATAATTTTCAAAGATCTAGACACGCCCCCCCCCCCCCAGAAGATCACCCGCAGCCATCCCTCTTCTGAGTCTTGAACCTCCTAGAAGTTACAGAAGTTTATCTTAGGTATATTATTCTAACTGACTCGTATTCAAATTTCAGCTTTGTGTCAGTTTATACCCAACTGTGTCACAACAACTATGCCATAGCTAAAGCTGGACGTAAGCATGGACATAATATGTTCTTTTTACTTTGAATGACTATTACACCCTTATCTTATTTACAAACCCTAACTTCAACCAAGCCCAGCACTAACACTAATCACACCCATAACATATCTACCTTTAACTTGGACAGCGGAGTCCCCACGAGAAGGAAGCAAGCCTTCACAGAATCGACAACACAGCCCGGTGGAGATTTGAACCTTCGGACCTCTGAGACTGCACTGTAGCCCATACTGTGCCTGACTGGCTCCCCTGTCCACTGGTACGTAAGACGCTCCAGCAAGTTTCGGGCTGCCTGGGAAATAAAACGATTAATTGATTAATATAATTATTCTTTTCTACCCAGCTAGCTATCTGACCTAATTATGGCTCTACAGATGTACATAGGTCCTCCGAGAGAATGGCTACTTTCGGCCCTAGCAGTGTCCGCTAAGTGGCTTTTGCAACTCAAAGTTCTCTTTTTTCTTTTAAAAAAATACATAGATTTCGAACAAAATGTCAGATTCTACACTTCTTAGGACTCCTCAAACTAGCGTATTTCGAAAAGGCCCAGTTAAAGATTCGATTCAGAGTGACCAGCGCCGTATGTCTAGGGAAAAATCAATTGAACAGCAACGTCACAAAGAAGAGGGACTGAAATTCAAATCCAATCTCAGATATAAATAATAAAATCTTTTTTTAAAACTCGGATATGGCATACAAGAACACGAGAAAGCGATATAACCTGTAAAGAATTGGCGAGTTCAGATGCGTACGGTGAGGTCTCCACTTTGCTGATGGCGTCACGTAGCGTGGAGTAGTGTCTCCGACGTACAGCATCTCTCAGTGCTGAAAAGTAGAGCGCCGTTAGTCTTTATAGCTTAAATAAATTTAGGCTGCACTTTTACAGATCATAACGATCTGATGAAAAATGTTGGCAGAAAACTGGCCAGCTGAAGGCCAAAGTCGTGAGTAATGATTCTGGAAGTTTCCAAGCAGGGAGAAGAACTGCCTTACCTTTTTTGAGAAACAACTTACTATTTCTTTTAAAGCTGTGTTGTTGTTGTTGTTGTTGTTTAATGTGTGGTGAGCATCGGATAGTGAAACCGACTGAGCGTTATTGGGTGCGTAGCCCATTAAAGTTTAGCCGACCATTTGAGGGGTCCGTTGACGTTGCTCGGACACCGCCATGGACAAGAGTACTCGCCGCCCCCCCCCCCCCCCCATGTACTGTAGTCCCAGCTGTCTGGGTTCATCACCTTTCACATCTTTGTGCCTGGCAGGTAACGGATGTAGACTTTGTAGACTTCTTCCCAACAGACCTGGTCTTCCCGTTTTCGAAGCCGAATGACAGGCGTCAGTGGTGTAGCGATTAAGCGCTTTGCTGTCGCAAGTAAGAGACCCGAGTTCGATTCTCTACGGGGGAGAATTTTTATAGGATATTTCGGTTTTTGTGCGAGGATGTTCTCTCCCTCTCTGTCCGGACTGGCCCTGACAGGCAGGGACAGAAGCGTGCTTCCTAAGTGATTTAAATTTTGTTGATGGGGGCGTAAAAAATATCTACATTAAAAGGGAAGCCAAATGGCCGGACCGGTCCAAGAGAACGACCCACTATATAAATTCAATAACTGTTCATATTAATTTATCATCATCATCATCATCATCATCATCATCATCATCATCATCATCATCATCATCATCATCATCATCATCATCATCATCATCATCATCATCATCATCATCATCATCATCATCATTATTATTATTATCATTATCATCATCATCATCATCATTATCATCATCACTATTATTTTTATTAATATTATTGCTGCTGTTACTGTTATCAGCATTATTATTATTATTATTATTATTATTATTATTATTATTATTATTATTATTATTATTATTATTATTATTATTAATGTTGTTGTTGTTGTTGTTATTATTATAATTAATGTTTTTATTATTATTATTATTATTATTATTATTATTATTATTATTATTATTATTATTATTATTATTATTATCATTATCATCATCATTAATGGAAAATTGGTCATCTTAGACGGGTGGCTCTCTTGGACTGTGCCATTACAAAAAATAGAAAAACCGTAAAGGGGGGGGGGGGGGTGAGGTGATCTTTAGTGTGAGTACGACTGTACATGTTTGACTTTAAGTACAAAAAGGGTGGACAGCTGTTGACGTGACGTCATGGAGGTCACGTGCTCATTGGCCTCTACAGTCTGCTCGGTGCGTGTAGGAATACGCAATGTACACGTTTGTCCAGCTGGACTTGTTTATTTTATTTTTTGTTTTTCGTGCCTTGAACTTCTGTGTATGCTTTTGCCAACACCGTTGCAAATTACTGTCTGGTATTTGGGGGCTCATTACGCGCTTTCTATATATTGATTTGGGAGGGGAAAGGGCGTATAGGAATACGCAACGCTTCGTGTTTTCTTTAGATATATTGCAATAATAAACCTAGTGATAAATTCAGTGTGGAATATTGACGAATGGAAAGTTTTACTCAGTTTACAAAATAATGATTTTAATAATTCGGGAGACTATAACTGCAGTTACTGTTACCAAACTTCTACCATTCTCGTGTCATAAATCTGTTTCTCTTCCCTTGCCAAGCTCGACAAGCAATGAATCTCTCTTTACGATGACAGGAAAAAATGAGGGGGAGGGGGTGGAGCTCGGAAAAACAAAAGCGAAATAGGGAACAGAGCGAAACGGCTCCAAATACTTAAAACTGCAAGATAGAAATATCCATGGCCTAATCCAATAAAATATGAATACTGATAGTGTGTAACTCAGGAGACAGAACCTTTGTCGCACAATATCCCTTCGAAGATTGAGTGCAAAATCAAAGATCATAAATCAAAAATATTAAATCTCTGACGTTGGGAGGCTTGTGTAAAAGCTCGCCTAATACAGTTGAAATTGTCCAAGACGGCCATCCATTGTCGAGTAGAAAAGCGGTTGTCTTAGGCAGGTAGACATCTTGGACAGTGGCATTAATCGAAATATTTATCAAAACCCAAAGGTGGGGGTGGGGTGGGGTCGTTTGTACAGGGGATTGTCTTGGACAGGTAGCCATTAAAGTTGAAAAGCAGAATAAAAGAAATAGCCTTGTATAGTTTGGTACAGTTCAATGATAAAATCACTATTATCATGATTACTAGTTCTGGTAAGGGGCTCACTGTTCCCCCGATATAACTTCCGATGAGAAGAGACGTGTAATTATATGAAAACCATTCATCCGTCGACCCTTACATCACTGAAACATTATCTGAAAGTGAAAGGATGGACCTCCGAATTCAAAGTCCATATCCGATAGGGATAAGCTAAGCAGGTCGAGAGCATCGAGAACTCCCCATGTTAAACAATCATTTTAAAAACGCCCCATTTGGGATTCGAACCAAGGTCACCAACATTTTTTTAGTAGAGGGTTTAACGGCGCTCGCAACTGCATAAGGTCATATGAGCGCCAAGGGGTGGATATCAACAGAGAAGTCTTTACAGGGAATCAGACCTGATCAGACTGCTCACCTCTCTAGCTTCAACAGCACAAGGTCTGCTTCGACTATCAAGGCACCCCAAAATAGCAGGTCACAAGAGAGTGACAAACATACAAAAGAAGTAGAGGAAAATGACAATAGTAAGGATCAGGAAAGAAAAAGTAGCAGTTCCCTGTTGTAGATCAGGCACAGTTATGATCGTGACATGAATCAGCCCATTTACAATTCTGCTAGGCTTGAACGAGAAGAGAATAGCCTAAAGACACTACAGTCAGTGGCACTGTCACGGGGGAGGGGGAGCACCAACTTCAAAGCACAAAGTGATAATAGCTAGACTGATAACATACCCTAACGAACTATTTGACAACATTTAAGATGGCGTTTTTATTTTTTTTAAACCACACAAACAACTATGCTGTTTTTCATCTTACTCGTTAAAATTTTGATCTACTTAATTAAATATATCTCAGATGTTCTATTCTATAAGACATGACGTGAGTTCGAAGATGAAGGTAGAAAAAGAGACGATGTTTTTGGGGGGGGTTTTTGCATCTATTTTTTGTTTTGTTTTGATGACCGCCATCAGTCCGTGAAAACAAGACGATAGCACCTTTCCATGCGACGAAGGGTCGCCCAGGGTAGTAAGTACATTATACGCCAACAGATTCGTTTTAGTTTGTTTCCTTAAAACATGTTGACATAGACAGCAATAACTTTTGGGTTTTTTGGTTTTCTGCAGACTCAGATACAACAGGTGTTTTCGACGGAGCATGGTCACCGAAATGTATGGGTTAAGGTAACAAGGAAGCTGTAAGCGGTGAGAGGGGGCGGGGCGGGGTGAGTAGCCCTACTTTGAGCAAAAATATTCAAAGTATGTCTTGTGAAATCATAAGAAATTAAACCACTTACACATATGTGCACCCTTCAAACTATACTCGACATAAAAGGTAATCCCATATAAATGTTATAGATGGTTTTCAAACTGTTAGTATTCCCACAAAATTGCCAAAATATTAAATTTGACACGCCTCAATGTTTACTTTTTGTATCTTAGTACAAGTTTATACAAGTAAAAATCTGTTTAAGCGTTATGTATTTCTGGGGCTTCAAACTCACACATTGGGAATGTTTTCAGATTATGGCCTTGACCACCCAAACGGTACAGTATGGAGCTCTCCTTTGAAATGACCTATGGTTGTTTTTTATAGAGTTTAAGTCTAGATCTAGTAATAAAAACAAACAACAGAAATCGGTTCAGTTTAGTTTAAGTCTAGTGACTGTCTGATAGTTGTGTAAAATGTTAGTGCTCTCTTGGACGAAAGTAAGCCATTTTGAAGGAGGTTTGTTGTTGTTGTTGTTGTGTGTGTGTGTGTGTGTGTGTGTGTGTGTGTGTGTGTGTGTGTGTGTGTCAGTGTGTACTCACTTGAACCCTTTGAAGTGCTTGAGGTCACTCATACGACAGATCTCGTCCCAAGACTTGTCCACGAGCCACGAGGGTGCAGGGTTCGCCAGCTTGTTCTCCAGACCCACTCCGCCGGTGAGGAAAAACATGTACTCCTCGCTGTTCAGTTCTCCGCGGGCCCTGTACACACACACACAGACAGACAGACAGACAGACAGGAGGTCAGAGGTTAATACATCAGCCCACGAGAAGGGGTGGGGGGTTGGGGTCAAAGGTCAGAGAACATGGCAGAGGTTTGAATAACTTCCTTACAAGACGCCGGGACCCCTAGCTCTCACTCCTAGCCTGCTACATATTTGTGGGGCTGATCTGTCATTTACGACATAGTTGTGTCATTTACTACATAGTTGTGTCATTTACGACATAGTTGTGTCATTTACTACATAGTTGTGTCATTTACGACATAGTTGTGTCATTTACTACATAGTTGTGTCATT